TAGGGCCCGTATCTTGCTTTTCTCCGTCCCTTCAGGGTGCACCACTGGGGGAGGCTGCAGCGGATGATGGCTTGATGGCTCCAATATCGTTTGCTCACTGATTCAGTGGGTGACTTTCTTTGTCCACATCTGTCTGTGCACTTGTGCAGGGATATCTGTGGGACAGATCCCTACAACTGGAGTCCCTGGATCAAAAGATCTGTGCATTTTAAAAAGATTTTGATCGACACTGGACATCATTTTGATAGACACAGACATCAAATCTGGTTTGTTCTGTGGAGGTGGTACCAAACTCTCAGCGCCATTCTGTTGCCTGGACTCTGGACCCAGGCTCCCCACTTTCCTTACAGTACCCCACTGGGCCTTTCATCATCAGAAAGTTCCTCCTGCTACGTCTGCCCTCCCACTCCCCCTACCCCAATGTCTGACATTCAATACCATTCAAAAAACTTAGTCTTCTTGGATATTTTAACTTTCCTTAATTGTAACCGTTGTCAAAAAGGTTTGGTTCACTGAATGTTTTATGAAAAATTTAATGGTGCTTTAATTTCAATGAGACTAGGAAAAGGCAGTGTGTTAGTTTCCTAAGAGCGCACTCTTAGAGATTGCTTCTGGAAATAGCCAGAGCTTAGAGAGGGTCCTGCACCTCATGTGTTTGAGCACCTGGATCTTCGAGGCCAGAATCTTATAGTAAGATCTGCATGACAACTCAGGCAATAATGAGATCAAGCTCACTGCTATTTCTGCAAATGTCCTTAGAACATCTGATGATAGTCTCTTTGCAACTCCTGGCTGGAGATTAAATTCCTATTTAATGACAGAAGGTAAAATCTTTCATTTTTTTGAGTAGTACTTAGTGGCTGATTTATCAAAACATAATCTATTATGATGCTAATTGCTTGCAATTTTGTTTCTGGAACATACGAAAAGAGGCAAGAACTGCCATCCAATAGGATGAATTACAGGTGAATTCTTTACAGCTAAACTACCCCCAAGGTATAGTGGGCAATTCTGAACATGCAAGCAAGTTTCACTGGGGAAAAAAAAAAACACCCCAAACTTGGGTAAATGTTTCACGTCAAAATTAGATCAAGTAACCATTACCTCTCTTTTAGTTGTCACATTTGGTTTCCTTCAATAGATTTTGAATTTTCTCCTAGGGTTAAGGCAACACATTGAAACATTCTCACACTTCAGAGCACGGAAGATGTGATGTACCTCTCAGCTAACATCCAAACACAAGTTTAAAATACGCTTGCAAAACCGAGGTTCTGCTTTTATTATGGGGATTACCATGACCATGACCAAATATGAGCTACAATAAACATTTCACCTCCACAAGGATCATTCCCGAAGAGGTGGATGTGGTTCAAATATGTATTGGATTGCACTCCAAGCCCAGATAAGCTGCCGATTTTCTAATGTCAGGGAAGTCAGTATAAAGTTGAAGCTAAAAATCTGTTAAATCCCACTTCATCCTTACCAGGGCCCTTTTTCTTAGAGCTCAGTGCAAAGGAGGGGAGTCTATAAAATACGTACTTAACAAAGCATGTCAGCAGCTTGAATGGAGCACACCAGTCCAGATCTGAGAATTCCAATAAATAAATGAAGCCGAGCATTTATTGCCAACAACCCTGTCACTGGGGCCACAGAAGACTGGAGCTGGGCAGCTGGGAGGCGGGAGGGAGCGTGGAGGCCGGGAAGACAATGGAACGCGCCCAGGTTGGATTATTTATGGCGTGGTGATGAAGAGACAGCTTTCCATATGAGGAACAGCTTAAGAGAGGAGACGCAGAGCTGGAGCCGGAAGAGGCCCAGAGAAAGAGAGAGAAACAAAAGGGGTCATGAATAAAAGTGACAGCTAATAAAACAATACAAATCTAAACCGCTGTAACTTTCAGAAATAATTCAGGGACAAAAGAAAAAGAAAAAAATAATTCTCATTTTGTTGGCTCCAGGACAACTTTCCAAGAAGCAAAAGACATTTAAGTGAAATCAATGTGCTGCTTTTAAGACCAAATTTGCCTCTGTGACTTCCTGGTTATGAATTCAGGAGCTCCCGAAGCTGGGTTTAGTCATAGAAAGGGAAAGGGGTGATTGTGTTGGTCTTTTATTCACATATCCATTGTTTCAACAAATATTGTGCAGCGTTCCTTGTTATGTGCTGAGCAAAGACACAGTCCCTGCCCTCAGGAGGTTTATGGTCCAGCATGGGAAACTGAGAAGACCATTGTCAAGAGCAGGACACTGGGTGGGGTCTATGCTGACAGCCGGATCAGGACCAGGGGAGGCCATAAAGGGAATCTGTGGCTGACATGCAGCTTGGAATGGAAATAATTCAGTGAATTTTGCCTCTGGTACTGATTAAAAGGGCTTTGCTGTGGCTCAGACCGTAAAGAATCTGCCTGCAATACGGGAGACCCAGGTTCGATCCCTGGGTCAGGAAGATCCCTTGGAGGAGGGCATGGCAACCCACTCCAGCATTCCTGCCTGGAGAACTCCATGGCCTGAGGAGGCTGACCAGCTATAGTCCATGGGGTCGGCAGAGAGCTGGACAGGACTGAGCGACTAACACTTTCACTTACTTCACTGATTAAATAGACACATACCAAACTTCCATGCAATCCAAATCCCAGTCTGATTATTTAAAAATTAAAATGTACTTTTAAAAATGCAGATTTCTGTGGTTCTCCATTGTTTTTGTCCTTGAATTCTGGACAAGAGGCTGACCTGAGCTGTTTTAAATGATCCTCCTGGGGCATCACATACCTCTTCCTGTAAGTTTGGCCAAAAGAAGAATAAATACCAGCCACCACTTACTCCCTGGCCAGAGTATATGCCCGACGTTTTACATGTGTGGCTTCGACCTTTTACCACGGATGCCTCGAGGTGGGGTCATGGCTCCAATCTTACCGGACGGATAGTAGAGCCCAGAAAGCTAAGTCCTAGGCAGTGAGCCTCATGGCACCTCCTTCCAAACACTACTGGCTTTGGTTTCCGTACATAGGCAGGGACTGCACTAACAACACAGCTGCACCCTAGGAAGCCTTATCAGGCAGGGCCTGCCCCTGGCTTGTCAATCTGAGCTGATGCCAAAGTTCTTTTTTCCCTCTTGGCTGCACAGGGTTTTTGATCTTCATTGCGGCATGCAGGATCTAGTTCCCTGACTAGGGATCGAACCTGGGTTCCCTGATGGGAAACATGGAGTCCCAGCCACTGGGCCACCAAGGATGCCCCCTCCCAAAGTTCTTTAGCTAAATCACTCCCTCTTTTCTCCCACCTCCTCAGTCAGATGCCCTCTTCTCAGAATTCCCATGGAGGAAGTGTCACCATCAAGGGCCAGAGATGAGTGCTCGTAGGCGGTGCTGGGCTGCTCCCAGTGTAACTCAGGGAGTGTCCTGATGAGAAGGGGAACCTGGCAGAGGACTTCACGATGAGCCAACTGCATTTCCCCAGCTGCGCTCTTGGCCCCGTCCTAACCTAACCCTCTCTTTCTTTCCAGAGGCTGTCTAAGCCCTCACTGTCTCACCCTCACTGCAAGAATATGGGCCACAGATGAGACAGTCCCTACAACCTTGGGGATTTTGATTCTACATGTGGGGTGGACACACTCTGTCCCCGCACCTTTGCCCCCACCATCCTCCAGACCCACTCCTCTGCCCGAGGTCTTCTTGGCCAGTATTTCAAAAACACTGCTTAGCATCTGAAGACAGAGGGGCTGAAGAGCCACTTTAGAGCTAAACTCAAGTTTCTTGGTTTGAACTCAAGTAGTATTCATGGTAGATCTTTTTTTTTTTTTTTTACTGTTTTCGAGACCACGCTTCCAAAAACAAACCAGATGCTGCGCTGAATGGTAAAGTTGTCCTGTGACTAACCCAGTTCTAAAAACACCACACAGCGTAGGTCTGATATTATCTCTCTAAGACCAGGTGAAGCGTGATGGATGGTGGTGGTGGTCTGTGATGACCTGGAGGGGTAGAATGGGGGATGGGTGGGAAGGAGGCTTGAGAGGGAAAGGATATGTGCACACTTATGGCTGATTCACACTGTTGTACAGAAGAAAGTAACACTACATTGTAAAGCAATTATTCTCCAATTAAAAATAAACAAAATGAGACACTAAGAAAGATAACTTAAGATCCACTAGCTTGTCAATTAGAATTTAGTTCTTCCTCGATTTAGATAACTTCCTTTAACACAGAAAACTGTTAGGATGCTGCCCCGGCCCAGCTTTGGGCTCCAGGCTGGCCACGAGTATGGTGCTTTCAGCCAAAAGCTGGGACGTGAATGGCTTGAGCTCCAATTCCCCCATTCCGAGAAAACGATTTTGCAGTCAGGATGGCCAGAGACTTCAGATGGTGATTTTTCTGATTCTAGGTAATTTCCCAGGAATTTAAGAGGCAATCACTTACTCTTGACTTTCAAAGAGAACCTGAACTTGAAAGGCACAGTTGCATCTAAAACTGATCAGTGACGACAGCACTTCCCAGGGAGGGAGGAGAGGCTAATGACACACCTCGACCTCTGGGCTGAACCACCTTCTTCATTCTCCGGGTTGTAAATCTTCTGCCTCAAAAGACCTTTTGAGAATAACTCTTCACCCAAAAAGTGGTTTCTCTATTAGTTGAAGTCCTAAAAAATGTCTGATGACTTTGATAGGGAGCGCTTTGTCAGTATAGACTTATTGGCATCTCATCTTCAGGGAAATGTGCTTTTAAGAAAACAAAATTTTAAAAAGTCGAAGTCCTGAAAACATGGATTTTCAATGATAGATGGGAACCTTATTAATTATGCTGCTTCATGGCATAGTCAAATAAAACAGAGAATTTGATAAAGATCAACAGTACGCCAAGGTTGAGACTGAAATGCTTTTCCCACCTGGAAATTTATCACATTAATCTACTTAAACAGAAAACATGTGACTGAACACAGGACACACACACACACAAACACATGTTTTCACTAAAAACTGTATTTGAAGAACAGGCTAATAGAACTCATTTCAGTCTGCAAATTTATCTTTTTATTGAATCTGAAATAAGTCTCAGACATTAACAGGATATAAGATTTTCAAATAAAACTGTATATGTTAGAAAAATATGCATCAAGAGCATATGTACATACATATTCCATAATAAAATAAGACTATGTACAAAGATCACTCCTGCTACTTAATGCTGATCCTAACTTGTTGGATTCTGGTGTTTAAGCACCTCCATGAAACAGAGGCAGCTGAGCACACACCTCTCCCTAATCCCCGACCCTGTGTTTCATTTTCCGGTTTCGCTGGAAAGTTGGACAACTCCCTGGCTGGAGAGCGTGCTGAAAATCGTCCACAGTTTGGGGGGGTCCTCACACTTGTGCTGCCACTCCCAGTGTAGAAGTAGCTCTTCTTTGCTTCCTAGTATCTGCGCACAAAGGACACAGTTAAAGCCAGGCTGGGGCAGAGACAGGGCAGCCTGGGGGCCAGGACCCTTGGGGCCCTGGGGGTCTCCCCTGGGCTCACTGGGTCCTGGCTGGGCTCGTTCCTGTTTCGTGAGGGCTTCCACGTCGTTCTGATGATGGAGGTAGAGTTGTCTTTTCAGTCTGGGGACTGCACAGAGCTCCCCGGCCGAGGGGTGATGCCTTAGCAGCTTCCTTCTCTCAGGACGTTTCCAGAAAGGAGCAGCCTGTTTCGTCAGTTCTCCCTGAGCTGCTCTGCTTCCCAGGGAGGGTGAGCTCTCCTCTGGCAATTGGCCCTGGATTTCCTCGCCATGAATGGAAAGCAGGTGGAACTTGATTTCAGCCAGAGACTGGGCAGTGATCTGACAGCGACCACATCTGATCTGGAACCTGGCCTCATCATTCTGGTTCATGAGGAGGTCTTCTTCCAGGTTGTACTTGGTCTCCCTGGAAATGGGGGAGAGAATGTGTCAGACCTCACTGAAAAACTTCTCCTGACAGCTCCTGGCCTGAGGTCAAAGGCGGGAAGAGTAGAGACCGTGTGGGAGACAGAGGCCACGGTGAAGGTCAATGTCGGGCCTGTGTGGTGGGGCCTCACCCCTCCCAGGCTAGCAGGGCCACTTCGCAAAGAGGGTCCTCCTTTATGCATCTCCTCTGAGAGCTAACTGTTCTTTGGTTACCATGGCAACAGGTGTGCCCACCAGGAGAGCAGGAGGTACCAAGCATTGCAGGAACCCACTGGGTCCAGCTGAGATGACTGTCCCTACCCATCAGGGGGGCCTTCCTAACCCCAAGCACCCAATGCACTTTGCACAGTTTACCTCAAAATCAAAATGGACTCTATTAACCATTCAGAAGTGAGGTTTCTTTGGGGGAGGTGGCTATGTACCTTAGGAAAAGGCACAGGTATCTAAAAGGGAATGGAAATGCCTAAAGAGACACAGAGACACTCCAGAAAAGCCAGGAAGAAACAGGACTGGTGTAGCTTATTTTCAGTGACTGTGAGAGACTGAGTTGAATGTGAAGAGAAAGGACTGAGAACCATCAGAACTGGCGATGATGAGGGACTGAGGTTCTAAAGTGCTGGGAGAGGTTTGATTTGCATGGTACTGATGTGCATGCATCTTACAGAAACCCTCTCTGTCACTCAGAGCAAAAGGGACAGACTGAGGGTGCTTCCTTGGTTTACTCAGGACCCTCTGACCCAACTGACAGGCTTTCAAATGACTCAGCTGCCTTGTTTATAATGCTGGAAAGCAGCACCACACAGGCAACAATGTAGGAGACAGCTTACCTGGCATCACGGGGAAACAGACCAAGTGCTGAGGGGTAGGTCTGCCCTGGAGGGGCTGAGTCCCCACCACCTGCTATGCCAGTTTTGGGGCAAACGATGCTCTTTCAATATACATTCTGAGGAAATGAGTTTGGGGGAAATTACTCATCAAAAGGACCATAACCATAGATGTTAAGTTACTCTTCCATATTTCAGATGCAAAATTAATCTCATGCCCCAATGTCTATAGCATCTCTCAAGCTGGCCCTTGTGCCCTGGCTGATGGAGGATGAAATTGGTCAAAAATCATGAATGATCAGGGACCAAAGAGAAATGAGGCCATTCTTCACAGAACAGAGGTAAGTGGTAGCAGTTAACTTCTCAAATCTTAATCTGAGGGCTGTCTTTCCAAACTCACCTTTAGGAATGTGGGACCCGACCCTGATCTGGAACCTGAAAGCTCCTTCTGGCCAGGTCACCCGTCACCTGCACTTACCTGTCCACCAGTCCCTCCACCTCACAAGGGGTCTGCCCTCTGGTCCTCGGCAGGTCCCCCGGCTGTGGCTCGCAGGGGCAGGGCTCGGTACTGATGGCCACACCATGCACCTCTTTCAGGTGGCCGAAGTAGACTCTGATGTGGCCGAACACCTTGGCGCAGAACTCGCAGCACACAAGCTTCCTGGGCCGGGAGTCACCGTGGTGCAGCCGCACATGCGCGCTCAGGCTGCCCCGCCGCTTGTACACCTTTCGGCAGAGCCGGCAGCTGTAGGGCCGGCTGTCCGGGGGGCTCGTGTGCTCGCGGAGGTGCTGCTTGGACGGGAAGGGGTGGTCACACGCGTGGCACCGGTGCCAAGTCTTCCTGAGGCCGGAGAACCCGTTTCTGAAGGCAGAGTCGGGCTTTGGGGGCTGGCCATCCTCCTTCCAGTCCAGATGCTTGGGGGCTAGGGAGTGATCGAAAGACACCAGGCTCCCGGGTGGCGGGGGCTGGAGGGTGGCTGGAGGCGAGGCCAGGGCTGGCAGGACCGGGATAGGTTTGGGCATGATGCTCCGGTATTTTTTCACGGCCCCCGGTTTTTGGTTCCTGGCTTCTTGGGGATCACTTTTGACTCTTTCTTTGCTGTCCTTACAACTAAGGACACGTTTCCACCTTTTCCCCTGAAATGTCAGAAGATCGTCAGGGCCCTTGCGTTTTCTTCCTCTTCTCTTCGCTGTCCCACTGTTCAGTTTTGTTCTGTGGTTGAGGTCGGGCTTGCTGGCTGGGCAGAAGGCAGTGTCACCGGGGCTCTGCCCGGGAGCCGGTGGGGCAGGTCCCCTGTCCCCCAGCTGGGGGGCTGCACGGAAGCCTTCCGGGGTGGAGGGGGTCTGGTCCCCGGCAGTCCTGAGCCCAGGGAAGGGGACGTGCACAGTGTTCACAGCAGCTCCGCTCCTGTAAACCTGCGCTGTCTTCACTCTCGAGTAGGGCAGGATGGGCAGTTTACCTCTGGGGATGGAAGAGGGCACCTGGACCGCATTTCCAATGATGCCTGGTGACAAAATGGCTTTGGTGGGATCGACCGGTTCTTGAGGTTTTTCACTGGCGACAGCAGAAGGTTTCCTGGGGGTTTTCTTGCCTGGAACTTTCGCTCTTCCTGAACTCTTTGGGAGGCCCTGCTTGGCGGAGAGCTCCTCTGGTGTGGCCAGTGCTGGGGTGGCAGGAGGAGTCCGACCTCCGTGGTTGCTGGACCCTGGAGGCCCGGGGTCTCGGTGGCCACTCCTGTTGGTCAGCGCAGCTGGGGCTTGGTCTGGTGCCGGCTTGGGTAGGCTGGGCTTGTGCGGGGGCTCAGGATGCTCAGGTGGGTAAGGGGCTGCTTGGGTTTGGGCAGATTTGCTGCAACCCCTCTCGGAGGAGGAACCGAGCCCCGGCTTCTTTCTGACTCCTTTGCCAGGTCTCGGGGGTTGGTACCGGGGGATGGGCAGCTTTAGGTTCTCCGGCAGAGGCAGCCGGGGTTTCTGGATTGGCTGAGCTGAGGCCACGTGCGGCAGAGCGACCAGCGAGAAGGTCCCTTCCTGGCCGGCCACCTGCATCAGCGCGTAATTCTGCGGGGGCATCCCCAGGGGCGTGGAGCCGAGGGAAGGGCCTGGATTCACCTGATCAGAGAGTGAGGGCGCCGGGCCCGGCAGCACTCTGGGTGCCAAGACTTGGGGCGCAATCTTTGGAGCGATGGTTCTAAACTGACTCTTATTCTGCAGGCCTTTCCCACCGTGAATCGCCCCAGGAGGGATATTTGGTTCGCCTGCAAGGACAACACAACATTTAAAAAAAAGAAAAATCACTCTGGGGTCACTGTCCTGTGGTGAGAGCACAGGTAAGCATCCAACCATCTCGGCCCAGAAGTATCCTTGGACCCAGCCCTGCCCTTGGGTACAGAGCTAGTGTTCCTCAAGATGGAGGTCAGCTCCTGCCCACCTTCCCAGGGACTGATGACTGAACCCTTATTCTCCAGGGTTCCATGGCCCTTGTCATAACACTCACCACTTTGCATGGTAATTTATCTGTTTGTTCATCTCTACTATGAAACACAGAGCATCCTGAAAGCTGGGACTATCCTTGTATTCTGCAAGTCCATCCTCCCTGTTGACCTCACTCTGATTTATTTTACAGGCCAGTGCTCCCCACCCTGTCCCTGAGCTCTGGCCTACATCCCCTCTGGCATGTTCTGCTGCAGACTCTCGTTTCTTTCATATAAATGTCTTGCTTTCCCTATTAAACTTAGGCTCTGTGAGCACAAAGCCTATATTGGATCCCACTGTATCTCTGGTAGGAAACAAACGTTTCTTGTACCAAATTCCTTTCTCACTGGGTTTTAGGACACATTTGACCCACTGGCAGCGCCATCTGTCCTACACACAGGGATGCAAGCCAGACTGAATGCTGGCTCTGTGGCTGCTTCCCCGTGTGACTTGTGAATTTCTTCTCACACCTCTCAAACTGTTTATGTGTGCTTTTGCAATTAAATCACCAGTATTAAAAAAGTTGATGTGACACCTTACACACATGTTGGAAGAAAAACAAAAAGATACAGAGTGATAAAGACACAGAGACAACATAAAAAATACATGGATCACACAAAAAGGCCCTTCCAGGACACCGATGGGAACAATTTTAACTGACAGGCTAACACTTCATATTTGAGATTTATTAGGCTGACCGAAAAGCCATGATTACCACTCTGAGGGGACAATTATGGAAACATTTCCATGCACTGCTTCTAAGGACTGAATCATTGGTTTTCTCCCCTAAGGCCTCAAGCTCCTGAGTCCTGGCTGCAGAAGAATTTCTCATTTCTGGGTACCTCGTGTCAGTCAGCTTATGTTTTCCAGGTACCCACACTATTCTAGAGATGGCTGCCACACATGGTTTTTTTTCTGAAACCACTGGGGCCAGATGTGCTTTGGAATTTACACTTTCAAATTTTAAAAAAGTAATAAGATGCTTACAGCAGATGTTACATAACACCCTGCAGAGTCTGCATAATACCCTGAATTAAACCTATTGCCACTTCTGTAGTGAAATATATGAGCATTCACAAGGTGGGGGGTCAGGGAATGATTTTTAAAGTTCTTATTTCAGTTTAGGCTTTGCCTCTGAATGTGTTTTAACATCCAACTTTGGATAACATTTTCTGTTTTCAGAGCCTGTTGGATTTGGGAGTTATAGGAAGAGGATCAAAGAACTATTTGTTTAGGAACTTCCAAGGGTATAAAGGGCTTCCCATGGGGGCACACTGATAAAGAATCCACCTGCTCAATGCAGGAGGCACAAGAGACTCGGGTTCAAAGATCCCCTGGAGTAGGAAATGGCAGCTCACTCCAGTGTTTTTGCCTGGAAAATTCCATGGAGAGAAGAACCTGGTGGGATACAGTCCATGGGGTTGAAAGGAGTCGGATACAACTGCCTGCTACTTCATGACATGTCATGTGTCATGTCATGTGAAAGGTATAAAGATGAAATGATACAGCTTTTCCCTTGGTTAGCTGGCAATCTAGTGAAACAGCCCATTAAACATTAAAAATCAACCTTGATTTTAATGTCTACAGTGAGTGAACTAACAATTTTAGCACAAAATTGATTTTTTCCAGCAAAAATGACACTGCAATTAAACAAATAGCATAACAGGATTAAAATATGTACTGACTGACCAACTTATTCTAGACAGTAATCACTGTTTGGTGAAGAAAAAGTATGCTAGAAACATATTTCCCATGGTATTAAAACATACATTAGAGGAAGAAGGAAAAAGACTCATGTTAAGGTCGGAAAAATCAGACAAGGATAATTATGTAACCTGTTGTTTTCCTTTTTGGCTTTGTGACCATAAAGTTCATGGGTAAACTGGTTGGTTGATCACCTCATAATAGTCACCTAAACTGATTAGCTATATCTGCTTCATCTTCCTGCATAGTTTAATTTATTTTTTAAGTTCTATTTCCACAGCTTTTAAATTTAAACATCTTTCATATTAAACCTCATTTTAACCTTTTGGAAGAAGTACTGAAGTAAGCTGTAAATAAATACATTAAACCAGGATTGAGAGAGTTTACAGAGAGCTTAAAATTATTGACAGCTTTTGGTTGCCAAGTGACAAAGCTTATTAAATAATTACACTGGCAATCACAATGGTCTTTGCATCTATACAACCTATCATGGAACAGGAAACACTGGGTGATTTCTATTTAGTTCCTACTCCTAAGTGATGGAATACACAGTATTTATAGCAAGAAGAGCTGGAAGAGAGGCTATGTTGGCCTTAACTAGTCTCAAGTCTGAGTGAAATACAATAATGTGTGACAATAATGCATTGCAGCACAAGACACCTCACTTGTCTGCTCAAGTCTGTTCAACTGGCTCTTCATCCCAGACAGGAGCCTAAGTCCTTGCAGGGGCCTCAAGCCCAGAAGCCCTGGGCTCCTGGGAGTGCTCCAACCTAGTCCCTTCTCGGGTTTTCTCCAGGCACAGCAGCCTTGCTGCTGATCCTCACAGGGGCCACACACCTGAGTCCCAGAGGGTTCACACATGCTGCTCTTACCACCCTGACTTGCTTCCCTAGATCATCCCCAGTAAGGGCTGCAGCATTTCCTTCAAGTTTTGCTCAAATAGCCTCTTCATAGTGAACTCTTCTCTTAGTAAACATGTAGCCCCATTCTGAACTCCCTGCCCCACTTCCCATTTCCATCTCCTCCAGCACACTTGCTCCATCTCATGGATTACATTATGGTCTGCAGTCCCCACCCCACACCCCCTCCACAAAAGTGAATTCCTTGATGATGGGGAGTTTATTTACCTCTTTAGGGCCTGGAACAGGGTTACGGATGTGTTCAGAAATCTGATAATTACTTCTTAAATTTGTAAGTGATACTTGTAATAAAGTGATCAGTAAATGAAAGAAAAAAAACACAATTTAAAAGCAAACTGAACATTGCCATGTTACGTTGAAAATTAAAAAAAGAAATAGAGAATAGATCTCTGGAATACTTTTTTTCAATTTAACTTGCCCACCATCAGAATAAGGATAGCACCATGATTTTTTTTTTTAAAGAAAACAAACAAACAAACAAAAAACCTTTTAAGGTTAAAGGGGAGAGGTGAGGCCAAATGACTAACCGTCTGAGGAGGTAATAAGAGAGAATGGCAAATGATGCCATTGGGGTACAAAGAAACAAGCAAGCTCTGAGGAAGAAATTGCTTTAAAGAAAACACGCACACAAAGAGGGGAAAAGAAGGGGATTAGAGAGAAAAGAGGAGGAAACTAGAAGTGGAAAAACTGACCCTCAGAGCAGAGAATGGCTCTGTCAGCGTGACGAGGAGCAGAAATAATAAAGAACAAAAGATGCAGCTGAAGCAACAACTGGTGGTCAAGGTCACCTCAAAGTCCCCAAAGACTTCAGCTAGGAAGGGGCTCCCCAGGTTTTATGACCAAGTATAAGAAAGCAATCTTCTGACAGTTAAGGTTCCCAGCAATGGAGCCAGTTTATATTTATTGAGCTGCTCCAGAAGGGAGGGAAAGGGCTAATTATAATACATTTAAAGTAGATATGCTTCAACCAATCTTCAGAAATTCCTATATTACAGTGGAAATAAAATCTCACATGAAGACCAATGACAGTCACAGGAAAAGGAAGCCGATTGTGGTCCCGGAGCAAAGGAAACTTTAGGGTAACCACAATCCCAGTAAGGGAGAATACTGATCAGTGAGCAACCTGGGATGACAGAGCCCTGGGTGACAGGTACGGGGCCTGCCACACAGTCAATTTTGCCCAGGTTCCCTGAAATTCAAAGAGGTAGATCCTGGGGTAGAAAAGTATATCAATTAGCCTCATGATCAATAATCAGAAGAAATCTGTGGGGTGAAAGGATAAGGCCTTACAGGATAAACTGAACTTTACTCACACTTAACTGGATCTGTTGGGAATTCCATACAGATGGAACAGGTATAGAACAGATCATGAAGGTGATGTTGAGTCCCTTCTCCCAGAATCATTAATGATGAGGTGATAAGGAATGAAATGATGCATTAGAAGAAAATCATAGCAGGAGAAAGAGGGCAAGGCCACAAAAATAGAGGGAAAAACTCCTTAGGAATTACTCAAATGTTCAGCAGGAGGGTACTAATACAATAGCCAACCATGCAACAGAATACTATGCAGCAGTAGAAACAAAGTACTATTACAGGGTACAAATACAATACTCTGCCAATCAAGCAATGTGATACATAACACTCTCCAAGATGTGAGATACTATCACTTGGACTTTTTTTTAAAGTAGTGAGAGACACACGCAAACTAATTCCCGTGTATACACAGAACATCTCTCAGAGGAAACCAAAGAAAGTAGTCTTAGTGTAGCCTTGGGGGGTAAAGGCACAGTGGTGGAGGGTAACTTATAGGGTGGGATGAGATGAATGCATATTTTCCACTGAATATTTTCTATGCCTAGCACAGAGGAAGGTACCTATAAATATTTGTTGAATGAATGAAAGGCAAATTAAGGTTTCCTTTTTGGATCTGTTTTGCAAAAGGAGTATCTTTGGGGATGTTGGTGATGGGTAAGCGTGCGTCCGTTTGTAAATGACTGTGTCCAGATGACACAGAGAACATTTCAAGTTTTTCCTTTCCTTGCCTACTTAAGGATAAGAATTGCTAGTGATAAGAGAAATAATTGAATCATCTGACAGGCAGTGCATCACCACCCCTCAAGGTTCGGTCCTGGGAAGCATCAGAGCTCATTATCTTCCAA